AGCTCTTCAGCTCAAGGCTAGCAGTCTACCACTTGAGCCACAGTGCCACTTCCGGCTTTTTTCTTATGTGGTGCTGAGGAGTCAAACCCAGGGCCTCTGGCATGCAAGGCAAGCGCTTTACCACTGAGCCACCTTCCCAGCCCCAAATTAAGTGTATTCTAACCTCTTCTTTAAGTCCTTGTGTTTATGACAAACACAAAAGCCTTTCAAATAAAGTATAAATGTGATAAATATCAAATCTATTATCTTTAAATATATTTTTGGAGTACTCATAAGACCTTTCTATTTAAAATGCTTGTTACACTAGAGTATGGCCCAGTGTAGCATGCATGAAGACCTGGGTTCAAGTCCTAGCATTATATACATGCAAAACAAAAGGAGGATAAAAGCTGACTTCTGTTTATATAGGAATTTGTTATTGCTCTTTTTGAAATGATAAGTTTACATGTATTGACTACTCTGTGTGTCAGTGTAGAAAAAGAATCATTTGTTTATTTGATTCAATCCTGTCAACAATCATTTTCTTTACCATTAAAATTGTTTATGTGTTATTAGAAGGGTGATGTACAAAGGGCATAAGTCAGATATAGAGTACATTCTTTTTGGACAATGTCACCCCTTCCCAAAAGAACAAAATACACCCAAGTAAAGGTAATGACCAAGTTAGCTCTGGAGTTTTACTGCCTATAGGAAATTGTCACCTTATTATGATGAAGTAACTGTCCTTTTATATTGTCTGTGACTCCAGGACAAGTTTTAGTCTTTATTCTCAAGGTGTTTTCAGTTTGATGAAATGAGGATTCCATAGCAAAACAAAAATATTTCAAAATGTTTTGCAATTGAGTGTTTTTTAAAAATTATAGTTCTTTATGTACTTTCCCCCTAAGAAGCCTCTTGAAGGAGAAATAGAATCTATCTTGCCTATTTTTTCTCCTACAATCCTTGATGTTTTATCTTCAAGGTTCTGTAAATATTAGCTGATTTAAATGATCAAAGAGAGTCTCAATGCAAAATTTTGTATGTGTATTCAGTGAATGTGGGAAATTAGGGCTGAGATAACCAAGGCTAATCCTTGGATTAGAATTGTGGATACTATCTGGAAGCACATCTGTCAATGTCTGGAAGCAGTCTTGTTTGTCATAGCCAGGGGCAGCTCTTACTGACATCTAGTAATTGTAGGCCAGGGATGTTGCTAAGCATCCTGTAGTTATTGGACTATCCCTGCAATGAAGGTTTGGTTCCTAATATTAGAAAAACCCTTGGTGGAAGTTAAGCTGGATTTCTAAGGCAGTGTGGAAATACTGCCAGAGTTTTATAGACTTGAGAGTAAGCATTACAAATTGTTAAAATTAGGAGTTTGGACCTTTCTGTCACTTTTCGCCAGAAAATATTTCAGTAAATAAGTAGTAGAGAAACTAAGAAGAATTGAAACTGAAAAATGTTTCCATTGCCCTCTCATAAAACAACGTAAAATAAAAGATTGGATATTTACTTGAATTTATTGAATTCAGGGCTTGGAAATTTCAATGCACCTTATTCCTTCAAAGCAGGGATTTGTCAGTATCCAAAAGAACCATAACTGTTTTTTTTTTGTTGTTGTTGGTTGTGGGCTTAACCCAGAGCCTGGGTGCTGTCCCTGGCTTTTCTACTCAAGGTTAGTGCTCTGCCACTTTGAGCAACAGTGCCACTTCCGGTTTTCTGGTAGTTATTTGGAGATTAGAGTCTCACAGACTTCCCTGCCTAGGCTGGCTTTGAACCTCAATCCTCAGATCTCAGCCTCCTGAATAGCTAGGGTTATAGATGTGAGCCATTGGCTCCTGGCCCATAACTGGTTTTAAAAGAGGGCCTTCATGTTTGTTAGCTAAAATTTGGTAAAGGGAGAAAAAGGCTTATAAATTAAGCTCCTCAGTGGTCATGATGTCCTTACTGTTTTAAGAACTGTGAATTATTTATTTTGTGATACTAGGGTGTAAACTTGGAGCCTATGCTTGCTAAGCAGCCACTTTTATATATTTGCCATTCTGCCAGCCCCTTTTTGCTTTATTTTCAGAATAGGGTCTCACTTTAATTTCTGGTTCGGCTTGGACTGTAGTCCTTCTATTTATGGGATGACAATTGCAGGCCACCATGCCCAGCCATTTATTGAGAATGGGGGTCTGTGATTTTTTTTTCCTGGTTCTGGGATTGAACTCAGGACCTGGGCACTGTTCCCAAACTTCTTTGTGCTCAAGGCTAGCACTCTATAACCACAGCACCAATTCCAGCTTTTTTCTGAGTGGTTTATTGGAGATAAGAGTCTCACAGACTTTTCTGCCCAGGCTGGCTTTGAACCATGATCCTCAGATCTCAGTCTCCTGAGTAGCTAGGATTACAGGCATGAGCCACCAGCACCCAGGTTGGGGTCTGTGAATTTTTATGCCCAGGGTGTGCGTGCGTGAGTGCATGCGTGAGTGCGCGCACGCGTGTGCGCTTGCCTTTGTGCCTGTACTGGGGCTTGAACTCAAGGCCTGGGCGCTGTCTCTCAGCTTTTTATTTAAGTCTGGTGTGTTCTACCACTCAGGCTGACACCAGTTCCATTCTGGCTTTGAACCAGACTTTGAACTGGCTTCTCTGCCTCCCAAGTAACTAGGATATTGCAGGATTGAGCTACCATGATCAGCTGTAATTGTGTGTGTGTGTGTGTGTGTGTGTGTGTGTGTGTGTTTAATAGTTTCTTACTTGGGACACCTGGGTTCTTTAGTTCCCCAGAGAAGAGAAGCCATCTTTTATTGAAATTCTCTGAGGCATACATTTATTGCATCACTTAAGTGCAGGAAAATTTTTTCTTAGGTCTTTTGAGCTTTGGGGAAAATGAAGGGCAAAGCTTGTTATGACCTAAAGTTAGGAAGAACTTAGTTTGGTGCACATACTTCCAGTAGCTATCATTTAGATGTGTAGGACTGAAATGGGGCATGTAAACTTGTTTATATTCCTTTTTTTGGTGGTGGTGGTGGTCATGGAGCTTGAACTGGGCACTGTCTGGTATTATTAGGGTTTGAACTCGGCTTCATGCTTACTAGACAGGCATCATACTGCCAGAACCACACTCCAGCCCGATTTCTTGATGTTCTGTTACAATTCTATTTCAAAACATTAAAATTTTATCTTACTATGGCTATTATTTTAATAGTACTTTGTACAGTGCTTTTTATATAATGTTAATGTAGTCATGTCATAATGCAGTCCATACAGTACAAGGTGTGTAATCTGATTGACAGCTCAGGAGCATGTCCACTTCTTTCTTTTTTTGGGGGGCGGGGGTCCGGTCATGGGGCCTGAACTCTGGGCCTGGGCACTGTCCCTCAGCTCTTCAGCTCAAGGCTAGCGCTCTATCACTTGAGCCACAGCACCA